TTGAAAGTGGAGGCTCACCGATTGTGGCTATGACCTCTCGTAATTGTTGCCCAACAGATAGCTAAGCGAAATCTCTTTGTGCACCGAACTGTCTCTGCAAAAGTTAAGGAACACAACTCTTGGCTGAAAGATTCAACATTGAGCAGAGCCCCAAATCCCTCACTCCTAGGCCTGCCTGTGGAAGGAGCCTCTGGAACAACATGAGATGGAAGAAGACACATGGCCTCAACCTACGCTATAGCTAGCATTTTCTCTTACTTTATAGTTTCTGTTCAAAATTTGTTCTTTGTAAGCATCACAGTCACCACAAAGCAAAGATTCCTATTGGCCTAACATAATACAAGCAAGAAATCAAAGCACCTTGCAGAGTAATTCACCCAACCACAGGAAGCAATACAAGCCAGAGATAGAAGCTGTAGGGGGCATGTACTATGATTTCTAATAAAGGGTAATTAAATTTAATTTTCTCTCAGGAACAGATACGATCAGGTATTTCTTTCTTTTCTTTTCCTAGGATAAATGAATGTTTGAAAGGTTAAATAGTAGGCTAGGAAGTCACATGGTCTGGACTAAGAATGACTCTGGATGCCAGGAGTCACCCCCTCAGCCTCCACAGCAGCTCTGTGACATGGGTGGCCATTGTTTTCCCCAGTTTGCAATGATGGAAACCAGGGCACAGAAGTAACAGTGTCTTACCTGGGGTCACACAGTAAAGAGATGTGAATGTAAAGATCGTAAGATTGACAGCCTGGTCCAGCTACCTGCTCTCCTAACCCTACACATAGCAACCTGGAGAAGATTCAGCAGAGGCAACTGCACTGTAAAAAGTGGGAGGAGGCCAAGGCTTCTAATTTTGATTTACTAAATATTAAATGTCTACTGGGGATGGCTAGTAGACTTTAGATCTCTGAAGTAGGAATCTCTTGGGAGATATAAACCTAGCTACATCAGTTACTTTTCTCCTTGCTATGACGGAAGCAATTTAAGGAAGAATCTATTCTGCCTTATGGTTTGAATGAAGTACAGTTCATTACATCAGAGAGAACAAGATGGCAGGTCTGTGAGGGAGCTAGTTACGACACACCCACAATCTGGAGCAAAGATGAACGCGGGTGCCCCGTCCTTCATGTTGTCCTTTCTCTGTCAGCAAGCTCAGCTCACGAAATGGTGTCACCCGCATTTGCTGTGGGTCCTCTCTCTTCACTAAGCCCGGTGTAGAAATTCCCTCTCAAGTACGCCCAGAGGTGTGTTTCCTAGCAATTCTAGATCCTGCTTGTCCACTTGGCAGAGTATTGACCATCGCACGGGGTTATTATGGTGCAGATTTTATTAAAGGCCTGAAAAGGAGGTAAATGTAGAGAAAAGAAATAATTAATGCAGTTTGGGTCTACTGGGGAATAGAATGGTAGCTACCAAAACCTGAGGGCAGAGATGGTGGGCAAGGTAAGGAGAGATACGAGGCAGAGGGTACAGTTTCAGTTAGAAAAGAGCAGCTCCCGATAGCCAGAGAAATGCAGAAAATATGAGTCTATAAAGAAATGTGGCAAATGTAGACATGTGTTTAAAAAAAGACATTGTTATCCACGTGTTCTGTTTGTCTCACTATAAATCCTATGCTATTATCAGCTGTGGTCTGGGACAGGACTTTCAGTTTAAATCCTGAGAAGTTGTGAAGGCAACCCAGTGTTCCTGTGCATGACTTGACCATGCTAAGCAGGTTTTTTGAAACAGCGCAGATTCAAAGACACAACACAGTCCTGGCCCAGCTCAGGACATCTCAGTGGCGAGTTTCTTGATGGGCAGGCGCAAGGTGGTACCCAGCACTTTTAGCACAAAAGAAGAGATGCCTTGTATCATAGTGCGGTGCAGATGTGTCCTAAATCAGATTTGGTAAAACATCTGTCATTAGACACTACAGTGACAGTGCTTGATAGTGGTGTGTACAGCAGAATTAAGAATTAATTATTTAATTCTTATTTAGAATTAATTTAGAATTAAGAGCTGACAACAGAGACAGCTAGACAGAGGATTTATAAAATCCCTTTACATAAAATATATGGTCCTCTCTCAAACGCTGGGCTTGGAGATCATATGCAGCACTATGTGGTGGCTAAATTTCCTCAGCAAATTGGAGTTCATTAATTTTGCTTATTGACTCTAAGCTTGAGAGTAAAATTGAAAGTAACAAGACTTTTTCATAGTCTGGCAAGAACCAAAGGAAATGCTTGAAGGTTTTGTTGGTGTTTCTGAGACAAGGTCTCACTATGTGGCCTGGCGCTGTCTCTCTTAGAAATCTCAGTGTAGACCAGGCTGGCCTCTAACTCAAAGAGCCCCACCTGCCTCTGCTTTCTGGGTACTGGGAATAAAGGTGTGAGCCTGACCTTTGAACTTCAGACCCATCTTAAGCACAACGCTGTCTCTTAAACCATAGTTGTTACCATGGTTTCCAGTGATCTTCCTTACATTGCCCAATCGCTAAGTTCTCACACTGTTGTTTTAGAGGGAGCGATTGCGTTAAAGTGGTCTGGTGTCGGAGAAATGGGTCTGCAAATGAGGATATTTTGCATTTGACACTTATCATCTGGTCTTACATTTCAGGCTTGTCAATTTGATATCTTTGATATGAGAGGGAAATAAAGAGGCACCCGTTTCAGGTACCCGAGCCTCACAAAAGCAATAACTCTGCACATCACATCTGGGTACAGGAAGTCGAAAGTAGCATTAGGCTCCAGAATATGCAAGAATGCGGTGAAGAGTCACCGACTCCTCCTCTCTCCCACATCTTGAGTCTGGGGAAGAACAAGTTTCACGACAGTGACGGAAATCTATGTGACAGGGTTTATGTGAAGAACAATTTGTATCCAGTTAGCAGCTTCACTCTGAGTGGGTATGGGACATGGGTCCTCTACCCGACTGGTGCCACTCATAAGGGCCACTCATGAAAGCCTCCGAGTGAGGCAGATCTGCAAATATGAACGCTTCTCCAGAAGATTCTCCCACTAGTGACAGTCCCCATCTCTGTCCCCTTAGCAAGCCACTTGTGCCACTGAACCCAGTTCAGTTGTCCACCCTTCCCGTGGAGCCCTTTATGATGGCCCTGATACAGTTATCTTCAGAGTACCGTTTGATTTCTTGGCACTGCTGAAGACGTGCCGGAAAGGCTGGGGACTCAGTGAGCCTTACAAACGAGGGTACAGGAGAGGTCATTCACTTACAGACAGAAAGTGAGCTCAGGTGAGGACAGGTGAGGCTGGAGATAGAGGGTGAGCTAATCACAGTACGGAAGTCTGGTGAGAGCTGGTGAGGAGCCCTTTACGGTGGTCAAGCAGAGACGGATTACACAGCTCACCTTTAGGCAGTAGAGAATTTTATGATCCAGTGACTGAAAAAAAAAAAGTGAGTCACCTGCCATATCCAAGAGTCAAGTGTCTCTGTGTCATAGGCATGCCATAAGTTTAACCTCAAAACACTGAAATAACAGTGTGAGGGACCTGATAGAAACAGTGACTGTGTCGGGCTGCCTTGGGTATCTGTCTGGCATGTGTCAACATCCTTTCTACGCTTGCTTTATAAACAGCTTGCAAGACTTCGCATTCCGTATGTAACTTTTGGGTTATTAGTCTATCCTTCTCAAGAACTCACCCTGCTTGTTGACTTTTAAACACCGGGGCACACAAAACATAAAAGGAGGAGGCAGGTAGCATTTAAACCTTCAAGCTCGTCTGGACTTTCCACCAAATACCGTTCTCTGCCAGAACTCTTGCTTCTTTATGCTGAAGTTTGTCCCACGAATCCTGGCAGCTTCCACTTCCAGCCACGCAGCTTGGTATTTATTTTAATCAGCTGCACATGACAGGTAGAATTTAGCAACAGCTACAGTGGCATTGGATGGGTTTCCGAGTAGATCAGTGTAGCCAGTGGCCTTCTGTTAGATGCTCCTTTTTCTCGTCCTTCTTCCCATACATTTCGGCTGTGAGAATAAATCTAAGAAAACACCTGTTTGGCCTTTTAGCTCATGGCCAGTGCTGGCAATCCCGGACTAACTGGTTTGTACTAGACACCACTGAAATGAAATGTAGTCTAACAAAAGCTTGGCAATTCTGACTGCTGCCAATATAAAACCACCACCAGATGCTGTTTGCTGAGACGCGGTGTCTTCTAGCAGATGGATGGAAGTTAAACACAAATTGTACTGTTTTTTTTTTCCTTTTGGTTCATTTGTTTTTATTGAAATATAGAAATTTTGCTGTTTTAGTTACAGTTACAGTCAACTTGTAGCAAATGCTTCATTGCTGTTTTGGGTTTTCTGGGATCGTTGAAATTACCCTCAGACCATTCTTTATTATATGAACTTATTAGAAATGGAGAATCAAATTCATCATTGGTTCTAGAACTTCGTTTGGTACTCCAATACTGAAAATAATAATGAGAAGTAAGCACCAAATATTCACAATGGACTGTTTGTTCTGCCTCTGCCTCAGATATTAAGGGCTTGGCCATAGCCAAGAAACACCTGCCCCATCTCCGACAGTCATTATTTGGAACCAGTGTTCTTACAGTATTTTGTTTCCTTGCATGCTGCTGCACCATTGAGATAACCCATAGATGAAGAGAATGGTGGCTTTGTTCCCCACTTCAACGACTCATACACCATTTAAAGTAATCACTATCAACTGATATTTACTTTCATCAGCAATAATGGCATTATTAATCATTCAGAAAATTGACATATTTCTTGCCACAGAACTGTGTGTTTTACTGTAACTTAAATAGTTCGTATTCTCTAGATAAACCTGAAATTTGTCTTTTGCACCTTCCTTCTTGTTCCAAAGATTGTTTATTAAATCACATTTATGATAAAAGAGCACAAGAAATTTCAACAAAGTGGGAATTGTGGACTAAACAAATATTTCTAAAGCGTTGAAAATATTTATAGGAGACAATCATCTGCAATTGCACTGTTTTCTGATCTTCAGATTCGTTCTTATTCTTGCTTACAGGGTCAGGATCCTGCCGATTTAGTTATTCTGACCCCAGCATCACTGTGTCATATGCCAAGAACAACACTGCCGACTGGATTCAGCTCGAGAAAATCAGGTGTGTTATCGCTAAACTATTTGCATCTAAGACTCTGTTCCTCTGTTTGCTTCACTCCACCCCTGACCTTTCTTTTCACGGTTAGAACACTTTGGTTATTCTTTTCTCCAGTTGTGAGTATACCTGTTACGGCCTGTCCTACTTAAGGGAGATGTAGCGAGATATATCTTTCACATTCATAACTTCCTACTGTTAATACGCCATCTACAAGACTGTTTTGGGTTGCAGCACATTTGGGATCATAACTTCTGAGAGAGCATCCTTTGCCACATAACCTCACCAGCTGTGGCAGGTAGGAGGTTATCTGACTTTGGCCTGCAATACAGACCCAAGAGTATGACCAGTGACTGACTGCCCACATCCATTCCTGTCCACGGAGACAGGGTTCATAGCTGGGAGGCCTCTTGTGTCTCATCTGTAGTTCCGGCACTTAGCTTGTAATGTCCCTCAAGCCTATGTTTACAACCTGTATTTTCCTTATTTCAAGAGTTCTCCCAAAAGAAAATGAAGTAGGATACTCCAGATAGAAGGAACGCCATAATGCTGGAAAGGGTTGATGACGTTACAAAGTCCCGAATCATGTTTACCACTGATGCAGAGTTTAAACCCTGAAATAAACTTCAAAGCAGATGATTAATTAAAGGAATAAATATACAAAGGAAAACAATGGCACGTTGCCTGCTGTGCCGAGGGTCATAACTCCACACTTGTATTAAAGATTATGAGGACTAGGTTAGTTATTAAGTTGGAAAAAAATTAAGTAGAATATTCTCCATCAGTTTTGAGATTTGTTTTCCATCAGCTCTTTATATCAAAAGAACAATGATCTGTTTAGGGAAGCAGAAGAAATATTAGGTTGATAATCGTTAATACTAACCAATTTGTACAAGGCTTCTAGAAGTATATCAGAAAATAAAACCCACATATCTAAGCTCCAGTCTGACGAAACTAAGAAAGATAATTCTAAGTCAGGGTTTTCATAAATTGTCTCCCCTTTGACTGGATAAGACATAATTTATGGGTGGTTACTGCATGCTGAGCTCTGTCATGCTGGGCCAACTTTATGATAATATCTATTCTCAGTTGTAGAATTTTGAAAATACATTCATATTGGATACTTGGGCATCTAACTGAGTGTAAGAAAACCAGCACATATATAGAAATCTTACCTATATCCCAGCAGATTTCCTTCTACTATTTTATATCATAACCTAAATAAGTTATAATGTGTGCTTGTTGCTGAAAAAGAGCTATATCGTGATAAATGATAGAACTACACATTTGATCGCACATATAAAGATCACACTCAGCTGAGTACATTAAATATTTCTCACGACATGGCTCTCTCTGTTTTAGGCTGTGTAGCAAACCGCCGTACTCAGGCATGCAAACCTCCCTTACCCTTGGTGATCAGCATGAACGCTTTTTCTAACCACCATCTGAAATTAAAGTATATTCTCTTCAGCATTTCAAAATTCTTTTTGAATTATTATTTTTAAAAAACCATGGAATACTGTAAAAGAAAAGGGAATTGATTACCCCCAAAGGTGAGATGCACCATCTATAACCCCACTGACAAGCCTGAAGATATATATGTGCTTCACTGGTGGGTGAAAAATACGGCTTCCTCTCCAGCCCTGCCCGCTGATTTATAGGGAGCCCAGCCTACCACTAGTTTGCATTTTAGCACCATTTTTAATCTCAGCTAAAGTGACCGTTTTTAGAGCAGCAGATATTTCTTTTTGGTAGGATGAAAAGATTAATAAAACTTGTATGATATAGCAGAAAGAGATAAATCCTAATAGATGTGATATAAAAAGCCTATTAAATTTTATCTTTTCCAAAGATTGACCTGGATACAATTGTGAATAATTATAAGGGAATACAATCATCAGATGTAAAAAGTGTATTTCATGGCTGAAAATAAATATTGTATAAAGACTAGTTTGTCATATATATGTATATATAAGTATATATACATGTATATATATTTAATAAGGTCATTTGCCGTGACCTCTAATCAATGTATAATTTCAGATAATCCATATGAATTTCTATTTTTTCCTTTTTTCTTATCAAGTGAGTGGTTTTTAAATAGAACATCTACCATGCACCAGAACTCTTCTAGATACAATTTGATTCTTTTCCTCTAATCCTAACAGCTCGTGCCACCTTTCCTTCCACTATTCCTTTCCTGGCTTATTTTTGAACACACTTCGTACCTGCTTCGTGTCAAATACAAAACCCTCAAAGGCCTTAAATATGTACGCTGGTTTCACTTACTAGAAAAGCTGTGACAAGCAGCAGACACGCGTTGGGCCCTGTGCCTGTTTTGAACGGATGATGAACACTGCATGTTCAGAGTGAGGCTATGATCTTCGCTGTGTGCTTGACTTCCTCTCTTTGCCACGCTTCCCAGAGCCCCTTCCAACGTCAGCACCATCATCCACATCCTCTACCTTCCGGAAGAAGCCAAGGGGGAGAACGTGCAGTTCCAGTGGAAGCAGGAAAGCCTGCGTGTAGATGAGGTGTACGAAGCCTGCTGGGCCTTGGACAACATCCTGGTCATCAATGCCGCCCACCGACAAGTCATCCTGGAAGACAACCTCGACCCAGTGGACACGGGCAACTGGCTCTTCTTTCCTGGAGCAACGGTCAAGGTTTGAACGCTTTCATCCCTTCTTCTTTTAGAGACCCAAGGCTCACTGAGCCAGTCATTTCAAGATAACTTTTCCCCAACACAACTCTGAGTATTAATTAACAATCTTCTGTCTCATATATTACCATTTAAGGGTATGATGTCACTTTGTAAAAGACATTTCTTTATTCATTCATTTTATAATTGTTTGAGGACTCACATTGGGCTGAACCCTGAGAACATCATCCTGAAAAGGCGAATACATTTCTTCCCCTTTTGTGGCTACCGATTTCGTGGAAGCAGATAGACATGTAACTGCAAATACAGGACAGCCTCGTTGTCATTTTCTGGGAAAGCGTAGAGTCTGAGATGACATCAAATCCAGGAGTGGGACTTTGGGAAGGTTATCCAGAAAGCAGAGAAAGCAAGCAGTTACTGAAGGATGGTTGGAAGGTAGCCAGGTAGGAGGAGGACCAGCATTCTGGGAAATGGGGATCACCATACACAGAGGTTTGAACTGAGTGTTTGTGTCTTCCATACATTCGTGTGTTGCAATACTATCAGATTGGGCTATAAAGTGAATGACCTTGTGAGGTCATTCAGTCATCAGGATGAAGCTGTAGTGAATGGAAGATCAATATCCATATAAAAGAGACCTCTCTGGCTCTTAGCATGTGAAGCCAAAGAGGCTAAGGACACGTAGGCACTTACTAAGTCTTCTAGAATTCTGATCATAGTTACTCTGACGGCTTCCAAAAGTCTTAGAAAGAGGTGTTCCTAGTTCAGTTTTCCAGGCCATGATGTTCTCTGACTGGAGCCCTACATTAAAGCAGATAGTCCAGATCAGTGGTTCTCAATCTATAGGTCACAACCCCTTTGCGGAGGGGTCACATATTGGATAGTTACATTACGATTCATAACAGTAGCCAAATCACAGTTGTGAAGGAGCAACAAAATAATTTTATGACTGGGGGCACCACCCTGTGAGGAACTGTATTGAAGGCTCACAGCACCAGGAAGGTCTAGAAGGTGAATCCATAAAGCAAAAGCCCTTAAATGGAGTTCAGAAGAGTTCTCCAGTAGTTTTTGAGACTTGTGGTAAGTAATCCCAATGTATGACAAACGAAAAGACCTTGAAGATCTACTGGCTGTGGGGCTCTACCTGAAGATCATATCGAAGTGGTGTTCTCTAAATCAGGCCAATCCCATTTTGCACTTGAAATTGTTCTTCTAAGAGAGAACACCGAATGAAGGGTTGAGTGGAAAGAACAAAGAAACTGCTTATAAGGCGTTCAGTGGGAGATCTTGCTAGGCAGGACTAGGGGGGACAGGATGGAGAAGTGCTGACATAGTACAGATTTGGTAACAAGGGAATGGAGGAGTTAAAAAATGATAAAGAAGACAGAGGGATGGTGGACGTGAAGTCTAGGTTCAGGTGCCGAGATGGACAAAGTGTCGTTTGCTGAAACCAGAAGTAGAAGGGAGGAACGGGCTCGCAGGAAGGTCAAAGGAGGCTTTAGTTTGGACACACAACTCTTGATGTGCAGCAGGTAGCTGGCAGGAGGTCAGAGGCATGGGCCAGAAGCTGGGAAGTTGCCGTGTTGGCAGTCGTCACTGGCAAGTGGAGATGGCAGTCGTGAGCTTGCCTGATGAGAGACTGTGATAAACAGTACGGAAAATGTTAGTCGGTCATCAGCTGGATCTCTGTGTGTCTCTAGTTTGTGGAAATAAATTGGAAATTCAGGTGACAACTGTTTTTGCTTTTTAGCTATGACTTACTAATACAAAGCAATCCTGTGTTAGTTAGGTGAGATTCCAAGAAGGGAAACTAGGAGAATATAAAGATTTAAAATATTGTACTTCTTTGTGTATATAATTTAGGAAATTAACCTAGGACCTTATGTAAGCTAGGCAAGTATTATACCACTAAGTTATACCCCCAGCCCTCTTCTTATTATTGGGGATGGGAGTGCAAGGTCTCTCAAGTTGCCCAGGTTGACCTTGAACTCACCACGTAGTCCGTATAAGTCTCAAACTTATGGTGCCTCTTCCCTTTGCCCCTTGCCTTCTGCCCTTTGCCCCTGCCTCTGCAACTTCTGCCTCTTCTACTTCTTAGGTATCTGGGATTGGAGGCCTGTGCCACAAGGTACATCTTGCTTGCCCCCTTTTAATATTTATTTCAGAAAGCTGAACTTCAGCCTGGTGCTGTAGATCACTTTGTCTGACATTTATTTCCGTGGAACAATACTCTGAGTACTAAAATAGCAGTTGGTTGATTGTTTTGTCATTTTTTTTTGTATTGTGGTTGTGGCTTTTAAGGCAGGGAAATCAAATAATACCATTATTTGACAATTATGATATTTGAAACATGAGTCATTGTCTTTGTAGAAGCCTTTGTCTTTAAGACTTCCTGATTATATTGATTATATTCAATTTGTAGCATCTACCCAATGGAATCTTACCTCAGTGAATACATATTCACTATCAAAAAATTTTAAAAAATAATAATTTATTTCAGGAATGTGCAAGAAAAAATGATTGCAAATTATTTAGTGAGGTCACAACACAGAAACTCTCCTTCTTCCTCAAGCAATCAAAGCTTGTCATTTTGGCTCAAGGTGCTGAGGTTGCAACTGTGTCCTGGTCCTAGAAACAGGCATTCCCTCTGCTCATTCCAGAAAAGCCTCCCACTAGACTGCTTACTGAAAATTTCCAAACACAATCCAAAGCCACAGCTCCCTTAGAAAGAGTCTGCACAGTCCTGCTGCATAGAGAACCGTTGTCACAATACTCTGTGTCTTCTTGCCACTGTGTTGAAGGGGGCTTCCTGCTGTCTTTATCTATACTAGCAAGCAGGTACTGAGCCTTTTTCCAGCATCATTTATCACCTGACTCCCACACCCTCTGCTAAACAGATACGCATTTCTGCCTCGTGTTACAAGCTACTATACTAATCTAATTAGTAGCTTGGTTTCTTAATGCACGTACTTTGGTTCCACTCACGATAGAAATATATGAAGTCCGCTTTTGCTTCAGTGCAAAATTTAATTAAATTAAAACTTTGGGTAGAATTTTTTTTTTCTTTTTGGTCTTTTGTCCCACTCGTAAGCTTACTGACCACTTATAAGCTTATTGGGAATTGCCAAGGGACCTTGGTCTACTAAGAAAAAGAAATGTCACCATGGTAATGATTTATTTCACTGTCTTTATGTCACCTGCCAGAGAGAAGTTCTTCTCTGATGTCTCTTCTGAAAACTTGAAGTAAATGTCACAGTTAAATCTAAGAATTTGTCATTTCAACTTATTTGAATGACTACTTTTTAAATTTTTGTTTGAAATACCTCACAATGAAACTTTTTCTTTGACCAGATACTCCAGAATTCTAAAATAAAGGTTGTTTTTTTTAACTACATGAAATTTATTTGTCAAATATTAACCCTTCCCTTAGTGACCTCTGAGATGAACCCTGAATACAATAACTACTTAGAAGACATTTCAGTCCTTGTGGATTAGGAGAGGGTGTAAATATTACTTTATTTGGAACTTTAATTGTAAAGATTGCATGTGTTTGTTCCAACTACTTTGTATTTTTTAATATTTATTAAATGTTTCCAAGGTAGTTAGTTACATTTTAACTGAGTCTAAGAGAGAAGTTGCCCATGACTAAGAGAGGGGGGAAACAGTGTGTGTGTGTCTGTGTGTGTGTGTGTCTGTGTGTGTGTGTGTCTGTGTGTGTGTGAACGTGCATGTGCATACATTTGTGTGTGTGCTCATGTGTGTGCATACGTGTATGTGCATGTCTGTGTATGACTACAAAAAATCTCTTAAATGCTAATGTTAATAAAGTAAAACAGTTGTGATTACAGACAGTTATGACTAAATTGTCTAGCTGCTGATCTCCAAGACAATGTTTAAGGGTAGTGGGTCAAAAGGAAAGAGGAAAAAAAATGAGTCATTGCCACTCTTAGAAGTATTTCTCTCATCTTCTCCAGATGTTTCAATTTCTCTGAAAATACATATTATTTCATCTGAGATATCATTGTTTATCCCATGTAGAGCAAAGTGACAGAAGACAGTAACCGGCCTAAGGAGTCACATGACCCATGGAAGTAGTATTGGTATAAACACCAGCTTAAATCTCCTCGGGCAGGTGGAACACTGACATTCTGGGTCTTTGGTAATTAATGTGAATCATGTCTGTAAGAACACAGCTTTTCCTGGAGAACCCCATCTCATGTTATTTGTGGTTTTCTGTGTGTCGTGTGGCGCAGATGTTTGAACCTAGGACCCCCTGTATATGAGGCAGGCACTCCGCTGTTGAGTCGTACCCTCCGCTCTTGGCTGTAGTTTTTGATCTGGTAAACTGAAGTAGATGGTAAGAGGTTCCATGGTGGCCACGCGCGTTCCTCCTCCATCCTCTTGCGCCCACAGCCCTGCCCGCCTCTTCTTCCAGGCTTCTCCCAGGAGATGTCCCCACACAAAAGGAAAGGTGTACCACATTCTATCCTGCTTCTAATTACCATCGTTATTTTTCATTTCCCACAAATCCCGAAGCAGCCTTTGTTCACTACCAAGTGTGTGAGGCTTTAGATGCCTGTACATCCACTGGTGCACGCCTGTGCTCCTCAGAGTGCAGCCTCCCTAGCAACCGCGACGCAGGAGCAGATCGCGTACTGAGCATGGGAAGAGCCTTAAGCCACTTGCTGTTAAATCACCTGTTTCCTCTGCTGGCAGCGGTGATGCTGCCTTCTTTCACAGACTGAGATTTTAACTTCTGTATGCCTTTCTAGAAGCATAAAGAATTAGTGTCAGTTTCTCCTGTTCTGCGGTGGGTTGTGGTGTCAGTTCATCAGTGCGGAGGTTAGGATGGGCCTCTGTCTGGCCGCTGGGGGCATTCACGAGGCTGTGTAGAGTCAGAGGCACACCCTTCACCCTGGTGAGGGAGAATGCGTAATCTCAAGGTGACCCCTACACACACTGTGAGTGACTTCAGTTTACTCGAGGAGTAAAGGATAGGAACCA